CCACAGCATTTTCCTTTGCCTATAACTGGTAAATATATAATTACTTACAGATTTATTTTTACACAATTATTTTTGCTGTTGTTTAAGTCTCTTGCAGAACAACAAAGCGACATTGAGTACAAAAGGTAATCGCCGACATATTTTGGTTCAGGCAAATGAATATTTTATGTAACTATTATCAACGCAGGTTTGGCCAGATTGTGAAGTTTTGAATACCATTGAATGTGATTTATTTGGAAAACTTTTAAGTGACTCATTGCTTCAAAACCATAAATGTTTGTTTCCATTTTGGGATACATGTTTTTCAAACATTGAGCTTGTCATTTAAAAACATGTGGTTGGAGAATTTCGTTGCATGTTTTTGAAATACAGAGCATTTTTCTGCAAACATCGGCATAATCTGCGATGAGCCAAATAGAAATGAGGACATGGAATGCTGAGTGGGTGGCCTATTACTGACATTTAAACAATCTTGCCTATTCATATTGCTTTGAACCACAATACCTTGGTGATCTTGTCAAGGAGCATATAAACCATCATCACGCGAACTCCGGTCACCCTTGCAGCAGCGTTTGGCTACTAACCATCGAACAAATACGGTCACCGCATTGCACGTTTTCAGATGTGCTTCTGTGGATGTCTGGAACGTTCTTCCTTCCGATATTAGGAAGCTACTGGAGCTATGCACTTTTAAATCTAGATTGAAAACTAATTTCTTTAGAACTGCTTTTTCTGTTTAGTTTGTTGTCCTTCCCCCGCACCTCCGATTAGCACGGTTTGGCAATGTACGGTGCGAAAGAAGTTCAGCATGCATACATACATACACATTTAACTGCACAGAGATGAAACATTTTTCGGTGATTCGACTGCGTCACAAGCATTGGCAGTTGAGCACGAGCTCAAATAACAAAAAAACAACTCGACACAATCGTCCTACACACTGTGCCCTTAAAGGATAAGTATCTAATGAACGACGTTTTGGGCAATGACCCCTCCTCATAGCACATACATCGAGAAGCCAGAGACAAGAGTGGATAACAAGAGTTGGAGACTGCACTGTACACCATGGGGCCTGATCAGAACTATTTTGTACATGTGTATGTTGAGCGTCTCTCGCACCGTATCTAGCCAACCGTGCTAGTCGGAGGTTCGATTTTTGATGAGAAAACATTGATTCATGTAGACATGCCCCCAATGAAAGAGGTATATATTTTTTAAAGAAACAACTTTTTTTATTTTAAAGCCTCTGTACGTCTGCCACCAATCTCAGTGCACTTATTAAAGCACTAGCGGGAAGTACCTGGCGTTGCCGGGGTCAACATTTTTTTTCAAACCTACTCTTAAAAATCTAACAGCAGTGCATACTGACTGTGGTGGTACCTGCTATGATTACAGCAGTACATACCGACTGGTGGTGGTACCTGCTATCACTACAGTAGTACATGCTGATTCTATAGCAATATTTATCGACTCTATAGCACAAATTACTCACCTGACAGAGTGGCGTGGTGAGGCCTAGTCCTGTGCAGAGCCTCCGGCCTCGCCTAGATTGTCCAGCCAGCCGAGGTGGCACCTTGGCAGGCTGGGGCTGGCCTGCTACGCCTGACCCCCCCCCCCCCCCCAGCCACGATCTCCCTGGCCACTCTGCAGTAATTTCTACAGCCTATAGTGGTAGCATCTACCGACTGTATAGTAGTAACTGCACGCATCCGGGTGAGGGGGACATCACACAGTGAAGTATTTACCTGAGCGTTTATTGTATTTTTATAGCAATTATAACACGAAAGAAAATGTCCCCCTCACTCAAACCGAAGGCGTGCGACTTGGCATGGGCAGTCCTCCCCACCAAAGGCACGCGAGTTGGTATGGTCGTGCACGCGTCATAAATAAATAAAAAAGAAAGCTCGCAGAAATCGCACTAAATCGCTAATTAAACTAATTTAAAGTTGACGGATGTGAAATAGGAATAGCGCTTGCTCACGGCGGGGCTTACGGCGTGGTACCCGGCTATTTTTATTTAACGTAAACCCCACCGTTGGAGAGCCAAATGCCTGGCAAGCGCGCGAACACACAAACAAACCCACACACAAACCCGGCCACAAAGCCAGACAAATTTTGACTTTCATATAGAGATTTAACAACTTGGCTCTGTTAGACACGGAGCCGTCGCTCTCACGGTATTCACACAGCTGTTGAGAAGTAACTCGGGGAATCATTAGCAAATCAAGAAGGGGTGGGACCTCAATAAGAATTTCTACTGGAGGAATCCAATGAGCTATAAAGTTCTTTCTCACAGATTTCCAGTAAGGGGGCGGCCTAAAGAGGCAAAGGGAGAGCCCACACATAGTTTTTTTTATAGTTATTTTTCCCCTTTTCTCTGGCAACAAAACTGAAACCTTTTTACAAGGAATCATGTCTGCATTAGCCACAAAACTTGTGATCAGAATGCAAAAAAAACACACTGGCAATATATGCATTGTCCTTGAAACTGATTGGTCCACACCAGAGACAGCTTTCTTTTGAGCCTCGTCTCAAACGGTGCTAGACCAGAGGACGCCACAAAGCACCGTTTTAACACAAGACAACTCTGGATCGGTTTTGACATTCATTGTTTCATTAGTAGAATGGCATAGAGAGGACTGCCAGCCTGAGACTTGCCCCACTATAGCTGGCCAAGTGTGGCTGCATCTTTTCTTGGTATAAAAAACACTCAACACATTAGTCAATATACATGTAATGTATACGCAGCCTGGCAGTCGATATGGCCTATCCCATGAGGCATTTAATTTCTGTTCAGTTATCCAGCCATGTCCATGCCATGCAGTCAAGTTGTTATCCAGTCGAACAGGTTTGTCCTGGGCAAATGGTGAGCGTCCTAAGCTTATGCAATAGCAAAGAAGCAAAACCTCACATGCCCATATTATTCAGAAATGTAATGCTTTATCTGGTAGCAAATCGACTTCATCAGGTAGTCAGTCGGGTCGCCAGGGAGTGAACACCTGAACGTAATCGGGCGGTCGGTTTGGTTTGGATGCTCCAGGGTAATATAAACAAATTCTGAAATGATAAACGTGGATGCGGGGTGGGGAGGGGACTCACGCATCCACGCACCTATGGGATGGACGCAACGATTGATGCTGTCTTATCTACTAAGATATCAACTCAGGTCTCAGTTTGGGTATTCTACGGGTGCCCTGGTTTCAACTTGTCACATGTATAAATAGATAAGTGCTGTTTCGCACGTAAATAAAATATAGCCTTTCCGTTGCTAGTGTTTCGCCCGCAACAGCATTTATAAAAAAAAAATTCACCCCGAATAACGAGAATGAGAGTAAAGAATGACACCGAATGTGATGGTGACATCAATAAGCAAAGTGATGACGATGCCGATCGTATAGATAGCACGTTATTTGGTAATGCTGCATTGGCAGTGGTGCACAAGCACAAAATAACTAAACACGTTGTCAATAACACCGCCTTACCAGGCAATATATATAATAGGCGACGTTTCTGACAATGGCACTTCTTCAAGCGCTGTGAAAAACGGGCAACGTCGCCCATTACTCGTATAATAAGCCAAGAATGTGTGTGTCCCGCGCTTGACGTCACTCCACATGAACCCCCCCCTCCATGAAGAATCATGAGTGGGTGACGTCACTCCACATGCCGCACCCCTCCCCAATAACCATAATGGGGTGACGTCACTCCACATGCCGCACCCCTCCCCAATAACCATGAGGGGGTGACGTCACTCCACATGCCACACCCCTCCCCAATAACCATTAGCTGGTGAAGTCACTCCACATGGTGCAACCTCCCCTCATTAATAATCATGAGCTGAACAATTCCTCTATTTAATATTTCCGATTTACCGGAATATATACCCGTCCTTGGATAGGCAACCAAGCTAGTTATATGTGTAAGATAATAATGGCTACGATGATAATAATGTGCATGGTGTAATGGCAGTTATCATTAATCTGGCGCATCAAACGTGATGTTGTTAATGATGATGTTTGTCATTAAGGGAATTGTGACGGGTGACGGGCAGTATTTTCACGCTGTATAGCTGCCGTTAATCATGGTAATAATGATCGTGATCGACCGGTAGTACTCGAAGATTAAGAGTAATTGAATCTTGACTTAAAGCTTTCGTGACTGCAGGAATCGCGGTCATGTGAAAAATAGAGCGCTATATTTTTTCACCTGAGGACGATTACTTGTGTTGCGATTGAAACGTCGTGATTTTTTTACTATTTTTCTATCTACGTGACTTTACCGAAAGACCCAAAGAGTAGGAGTAATTGAATGTTTTATTCTACTATTGGCCACTTGTATGGGAGGGTGTTGTCATCTCTTCAGGGTCGATAAAGTAGTAACACTTAGTGTAACATCACCAGTGGTTGTTCCATGGGCAGACTGATACTTGTCGTGGAAAATGCTAATTTTCACTGAAGATTTTAATTGCACATGTGTGGTGATGTGCCCTGTCCCTTTGCTCATTTAATTTGGGAGACACTTTGATGACGACGATGACGATGATGGTGATGATGCCGCCACGGATGAATGTTCATTTGTGCGTGATATTGGTGATGCATCGTGATGACGATGTAGATAATAATGATCATTATGGAACCCACTATGGCGATGGTCCAGCTTGTGCAATATTCCTTACTACATTGATTTTCAGTCCTGACGATGCCATGGATGATGATGATGCGTTAGTGACAGTGACATTCATTATGAGTAACGATGATGATGGAACTCGTGGTGTTGGTGGTGCCGGTTATATATTAGTTATAATGATATTGAAGATGAGTCGCCATAACGATGATGATGATGATGGAGTTCATGGTGGTGCTGGTGATACATCAGTGACAGTGGCATTGATGATGAGTCTCCATAACAACGACGATGATAGAACTCATGGTGTTGGCGGTGCTGGCGATGGGTCGCGATGACGTTGAAAATTACGCCCCCCTCGTGTGTCCTCCCTGCAGGATGAGCTTATAGCGGCCGAGGAGGACGTGGCGCTCGGCCTGCTGGAGCTCGTGCGGTGGGTGTCCTACGCCGAGCCCAGCGGCTGGACGCGCGGGCTGGTGGCGCCCGGCGCCGGCGTCCCCCACCCCACGCCGACATCGCCACCACCGCCGACGTCGCCGCCGACTTCGCCGACTTCGCCGACTTCGCCGACGTCGCCGCCGCGAGACTCGGACCCGCTGGGCAACGCGGCGTCCCAGCGCGCCAAGCGGGGCCGCTCGGGCACGCGGGAGCAGCCTCCCCGCGACGCCGTCGGCACGCGCAGCCAGAGCGCCGCCACCGCCCAGAACGCCGCCACCGCCCAGAGCGCCGTCACCACCACCCAGAGCGCCGCCACCGCCCAGAGCGCCTCCACCGCGGCCGGCGAGACGCAGGATGCCGTCAAGGACTGCGACTGCGCGGAGCCGCCAGCAGGTAACCGCGAACCCCCCTGTTGCTCGCGCCTTCTCGTTTGCACACGGCTCTCGAGTAATAACAATCGCGGTCATGTTTAACGCGTCGTCGGTTTTCGCGACCCATGTTGTCCGTAATAAAGGGTTTTTATTTTAGGTTAAATCGTGTAAAGATTTTCCAATACACCGGTGTACTGAATTAGTAACTAATCGGCATGTTTTGTTCACGTGACAAACCTTACTAATTGGCTGTGTGTCGGGTGGTGGTGGGTTTAACGACACATTTATATTTACGCGATCTCACCCAAAAATTACCCTCTATTTTGATAATCGTGGTAAAAATTGTCACAATTGGCTGGTTTTATTCAACTATTAGCCACCAGTGGGGGAGGGTTATCATCGCTTCAGGGTTGAAGTTATACCACTTTGTAGAACATCAGCAGTGGTTTTGTTTACATGTAGTATGTATGTTGGACTTCTTCCCCACTGTAGCCAACCATGCTGATTGGAGGTGCAGGTGAAGGACAACAAACTAAACACAAAAATAAGTTCTAAAGAATTATTTTTCAATCTATATTTAAAATGCATACTCCAGTGGATTCCTTATATTGTAAGGAAGAGCATTCCAGAAGGCCACAGAAGCGCATCTTCAAAGTGCGCGATGCAGTGACCGTCTTTGTTCGATGGTTATCCAAAAGCAGCTGCGCGGATGACCGGATTTTGCATGATGGTTTATGCACAGACCAGAGGTGTGGACTCGAGTCATGTGACTTGGACTCGAGTCAGACTCGAGTCATGAATTTGATGACTTGAGACTCGACTTGGACTTGCATAACAATGACTTTGTCCCACCTCTGAGGTGTGGACTCGAGTCATGTGACTTGGACTCGAGTCAGACTCGAGTCATGAATTTGATGACTTGAGACTCGACTTGGACTTGCATAACAATGACTTTGTCCCACCTCTGGCACAGACTGCTACTTGTCGTGGAAAATACTAATTTCCACCACAAGTTTATAAAGATGGTTATAGCGGGACCATGCGAGGTGGCTACTGCTGCTGCTGGTGATATTTGTTACGTTCGGTTTTGTTTAAATCAGTTTAATTTGCACTTGATTACCAGCTTTGCTGTGTGTCATCTTTTCTTGTTTCTGTAAAGGATGAATCATCCCGTTTTTGTATGAACTCACCAGTTCTGTTTTGTCATTTATAGCTAAAATAATGAGCCCGTATTTATTATTTATTCGTACTTGGTAAGATTCTTGGAATACAGTGGAAAACTTATCCAAAATGAGACGCGTTTAGCAAAATGGGAAGTCATAAAAATAATGTCTCTTTCAAAATGCGCAATTAAATGTACTGGGGGGAAAAATAATATGGCATGGGTACTGATAATTATACACGTGCTCTTCTGGGAGGCGTGGGAGTGAAGGTTTTAAGTTTTCCATAGCAGTAAATGAATGGTGTTTATTTCTCCGTGGATTTGTGCGTTTAGCATTCTTATAATTTTAGCCTCTGTAGTCTTAAGTGACACAATGTAGAGAGATTATTTGGTGGAATACTAGATTCTCTACACTTGGCTTTTTGCTTGCCAAGCTGCAATGGCTTCCGGTTGTCATCCTCGCAGCGGCTTCTGGCTAACCATCAAACAAAAAAGGTCACTGCGTCGCGTGCTTTCAGATGCGCTTCTGTGGCCGTTTGGAACCCTCTTTCTTCCGTTATTAGGCAGCCACTGGAGCAATGCACTCTTAAATAATCTAGATTGAAAACTCGTTTCTTTAGAGCTGCTTTTTGTGTTTAGTTTGTTGTCCTTCCCCCGCACCTCTGATTTGCACGATTGGCTACGTACTGTGCGAAAGAAGTTCAATGTAAAATTAATTCCTGACCAGTGTCAACTTGGGGCTCTGTCAACCCTTTGTGGTCAAGAAAATGAGTCTGCAGCCCTTCGTGAAAGTGTGCGATTTTTCTTTGGAGAGACCGGTCCCCGTTATAGGAATGTGGAATTTACACCACACCAGTACAGGACTTCTAACGGACGTGAGCACTGTGCATGTCTCATCAAAAGAGCGTGCGGGCACTTTTGGAACATGCCCTCTAATATGCCGCGTGCAAACTTTTCAAGATGGCACTTGCGTTCTCCACTGTATTCTTTGCGAGCTTGTCACCCCCTGGTGTCAATGAGTGGGAGTGGCTTTTTGTTTGTGGGTTTAAGTTTTTCCTTTTCCTGTATTTAACCGGTGCACTTCATGGGACGAAAATAAAGTCCTTAAAAAACAGCCATCTCCTGTTTCAAAGGGCATGCCCAATAAATACTCACAGCTGCTGCACGTCGCCACTGATGAGCGTGCAGCCACTGTTGGTGAATGCGCAGTATCGAATTTTGTCACTCATACTTTAATTTTCCAAGGGACCCATTTGTTTAGCAAGAAATAGCAAAATCATTGGCCTCCAATTTTGGATGTGGCTTTCAAGTGTGGATTATTTAAAAGCATACTGTCTATATTTAATAAGGTTATTGCATCAATTGTTTTCGTAAGCGATTTAAACGCATTGGTACCACTCATGATTTGCCATCTCAGGGTGGTACCAACAAGTAAAAATGTTTGGACTGGATCCATGGACCCCCTTAGAATGAAATCAACACAGGGCACAGGAAGGTCTTCGTCCAACAGCGGATGAACCGTGGCTGATGATGGTGAACATTAGAATGGAATTGCAGAGGCAAGACTTTTTTTAGAAAGGGTCCTTTTATGAGGACGTTTAAAGAGCATTTTGCAGCAACAAAATTGCATGTATCGAGACCACGTGCTAAGGTTACAGGATGGAGGAGGCATCTTGACACTGGGCGTGGTCTTAATTTCAAAGCCAGAGTTTGACCTTTCTCGGTCAAACTTTGATCTTTCCGAGGTTGAATTTCCTCGAGTGCATGTCAACACCTAAATGTGGATGTAGATTTTTTTCCTTCAGTTTTCTAAGTTATTCGGCTACAAGTGATCCAATGACAGAGTGATCTGAGATCAATATAAAAATGTTCCTCTTTTCTCCACTTGTGATAGCTGCAATAGAAGTAGCTGTTGGCGTTTTGAAGGTCAGAATTAAAAAAAATCTACTAGTCCTCGCCACGACTGGGAATTGAATGTAGGTCAACTGTGCATATAGCGCGGTGTGCTAACCACCGCACCGCCACTCCCGTTCCCAAGGCATCGCTGTTCGGGATTCCCAGTGATGTAGTGGGTAGACTTGAGCACCGTTCAGAACGCGGCTGCTAGAGTGCATTCATTGGCTACCAGTCAAGTATCGAGTGGACTATGAGATCCTGCTGCTGATCTACAAGGCTCACAATGGGTTAACCCCACAATATTTGCGGGAACTGATCAATTTCTTTTTTTACTCGCAACGATGGTTCCTCGTCTTCGGATCGCATTCTGCTAAGTTCTTCGAGGACAAGGCTCTGTACCTGCAGGGGTCATCAGGCTTTTGGCACTGTGCAGCTCCCAGACTTTTGAACAATGCTGTGCATTTGCTAATAAGACAATGAGAATCGTGAGAGCTATTGTTTAAGTCTGTCTTGAAAACTCACTTGTTTAAATTGGCCTTTAAACTCCCCTCTCCCTAGTCCTGGCTGTTTACCCTGCAGATTCTGTTTATTTCCTCGTTTCTATATGCGGCGACGCATTGCGATCTATGGATTAAATGCGGCTTACAAATGTAAACTATTATTATTATAGATGGAGAAACTGGTGGCTGTCACAGGAATGTGAAATTTTTGTCATTGCCTCAGGGCTGCCAGGAGAGCTGAGCACCTCCCCACTGGATCATTGAGCAAGTTGTGGCTTTCTGAGAAATGTGTGATGATACGCATATTTATTTAATTCGCGTGTATTGTTGCATCTTCCCATCATCTCCCACGAGTTGTCACGACGCGTTTTGCCGCGGCTCAGGTATGGCTGTGCGTGTGGCGGCTTGTTAATTGTTGCCGTTCGAGTGTCTGCAGCGCAATTCACAATAACAACTCATTTGCCTCCAAGGGGAAATGTCAGCCAATACCATCAGGAGGCATAATTTTGTGGAAGGAAATGTAGTGCTAAGCGAGGAGCGAACGGCTGATTGTCAAACCCGGCTGATGATCCTCCACCTAACGCATGAAAAGGTTCACAATTCACGATAGATGAAGTCATAAAAAATATTTTAAAAACCCGCTTTCATTATAACCACAAACTCCTTGCCCTGCTGGAAAGAGTTGCACATGTTTGTATCAAAGTCTGTGACACTGTAATGTGTTGTGCACTGCGCTAGGTACAGCCCCATAACTATTGTTTTGTGTCCTGCATCAGAGGGAAACTACCGATTTCGACTCTGCAGGTGTATTTGTGTGTGTGTATATATAGATGGGGGAGCGGTGGTGTAGCGGTTAGCGCGTTGCGCTATGAACCTGACAGTGACGGTCATATGAACCGGTTCTGGGCCTCCCTTTGCTCAACTCGGCCTCAAATGAGTACCTGGTGCGGTGTGTAAACATTGCCCTGGGGAGACAAAGGCGGTCGGGCGTGGTGCTGGCCACCCACCCCCTCAAGTGCTGTGCCGGCCTTCATAGGTGTTCGCTAGTAGCACTTGCCCCAACAGTCTGTTAAGGCTATACGGGGGATCTTTGTCTTTGTATATATTTATTTACTTTCATTATTGAGTTCATTTTTCCAATCATCACATCCCACTCCCATCTGCCTCTTAATATCATTATTTTTGTCCCTATCCACCCTTTATAATTGTTGTGCCAGTGTGCCTAATTAAGAACGTTTATGATAACAGTGCATATCAACTGTTATGTATGTATGTGGAACTTCTTTCGCACCGTACATAGCCAACCGTGCTGATCGGACATACGGGTGTGAGGCATGGACATTGACAAAGAACGTTGAACAAATCCGAAAATACGTGCAAAGAAGCACAGCATGGCGTTCTTGGAGTTGCACTTAGAGACGGAAATAGCAGCACATGGGTTAGTGGAGATTCGCAAGTTGCAGA